ACACATTGCTAGCATTGTATTGTTATTTTATATATTGCCATCAAGTATTGTTAATGTATTGTTACATACCACTATATGTATTTACTACTAGTATATTGCTAACATATTGCTACCTAGACAGCACAAGACGTCCTCAGAATCATCCTGACTATATCCCAGGACATTCTGAGACATTTCAAAGACATTTATATATTCTAGAGACATCTTCAGGACATCATCTTCAGGACACTTTTAGGATAGCCTAAGCGGATCCTTAGGTCGTTCTGGAGACAATCTTATCCTTATGACATCTTAAGGATACTCTTAATCCTCAGTACACACAAGGGGTTAGCATAACTCCACCTGATTTTCATAGTTCAGACATTCGAACATGCTTTGAGCAGTGATGGTGAGGCTGGGAAGGGAAAAAACTTATGTACCATCTCTACAATTCCCTTGCTTGGCAATCTTCTAATGCGCTATTAGGTATGTAATTGTACGATGTAAAGTACGTGTTATGATTATCTTAACCCCTTGTGTGTATAACGTCAGAAAATTCAGACTTACTGCAAAGTTGAAATGTAAGTAGAAATTATTAATTGGATTATTTATGATTTTAATCATAAGTGTACATCATAAAAAAATGATTTAAGTCAATTTTATTGTATTCTTAATATCAGAAAAAGACTTTTTTCTCTTCCTCATTAATGATTCCTGCGACAAATGCGCCACAACACGGCCAATATCCAATGTAGTAAAGAGTAGGGATTCACCGGATATCCGGTATTTGATATTATCAGGCACTTTTTTACTATCCGAATAGTCAGATATCATTATAATTAGTATCCGGGAATGTATCCGGCTGAAATTTGGTATCATTAAATTGTTGATTTTTTCCTATACAAATATTCTAGAAACAAATATACATATTTATAATACTATAATATCTTATGTATTGTTGCAAAATTACAATCTTTTCTCTATAGGTTTTTTAAAAAATGTAATACTTTTTCCTTTAAAGTCGTTATTTTTTAATAAGCCATTTTTATTAATAATTATTGTAATTATTAATATTAAATATAATAGTAAATTGTTAATATTTTTCATAGAAGAATGATAGGATCACTTTTTTTTATTTATTTCTTTCTAAAATTCAAAGATTTTCAGTTTATAATTAATTTCCATAAAACTGAAAAATCACTCATTTTCACTTTGCAAAAAAAAAATATCGTTTCTACAACAAATCGCAAAAATTTATAATTTTATTTATAATTTACGCTTATAATTTCTTAAAGTTCAACTCATTAGTTGATTCATCCACTAATAAAATCTTTTTTCATCTATTTTTGACGGATAAGATTTTGAAAAAAATTCGTTTTTTTTAACGTTTTTTTTTTATGTTTTTTCACTTATGGTATTAGGTGTACAAATAAATTTTAAAGTTTTTTGTGTAACGTATAATTTAAACTTAGAATTCAAATATTTTCGCGCTCTTTTGATATGTAGTGGCGCTTAATATGTACTATTAAAAAACATAATTGACTTCACAAAATTGGAAACTTAACCTCAAAATTAAATGGTTTTAAAATGGCGAGCGACAAGCAATTTATTCGACACTGCACTCGATACGAATTTCATCAAAGAAAAAGCGCTGCTAAAGCATGTGAATCAATTTGTTCTGTTCTTGGAGTCAATGTTGTATCCAAAAGTACGTGTGAGTTTTGATTTAGGCGATTTAAAGAGGATGATTTTGATGTTAGCGATAGAGAACGTAGTGCTCCTCAGAAGGTTACAAACAATGAATTGCAAGCATTAAATCGCTTAATCAAAACTCATGTCAAACACAAAACGAACTTGCACAGCAACTTAGAGTAACTCAACAAGATATTTTAATTCGTTTACGGCAGATGGGAAAGATTCTGAAGGAAGAAAAGTGGGTGCCGCATGCATCAAAAGAAAAAAACAAAAATGATCGTCTTGAGAAGTGTTTGAATCTGTACAATAAATAGCATAGAAAATCTTTCTTGTGGAAAATCGTGAGTGATGAAAAGTAGATTTTTTACGATAATTCTAAAAAGAGAAAACATTATGTGGATCCAGGACAACCCACTACATCAACGCCAAAACGCAACATCCACAGCAGCAAAGTTATGCTATGCATCTGGTGGGACATGAAGAGTGTGCTATATTATGAACTGCTCCATCCGAATGAAACGGTTAACAGTGATCGCTACAGTCAACAATTGATCCATTTAAATCAAGAAATCGAACGAAATCGTCCATTTACTGGCAAAGGAAAACGTCCTGTGAAATTGCTTCATGACAACGCTAGGCCTCATGTTGGTAAACCTGTAAAGGAAACGTTGCTAGCTCTTGGTTGGGAAGTTCTGCCGCACCCGGCGTATAGCCCAGACATAGCCCCTTCTGATTATCATTTATTCCGGTCAATGCAAAACGCCTTGTCCGATGTATACTTTCGAGCATTTGAAGAAGTGCGAAAATGAGTAGATAATTTTATTCGCATCGAAAGACGAAACCTTCTTCGCTTCTGGAATTCGCAAGCTGTCCGAAAGATGGCTAAAGATCATAGATAATGATGGAGATTATTTTGATAATTAAGTGTGTTTTCGTTTCTAAATAAATAAATATTAAATTTCATTAAAAACGCTTTAAAACTTATTTGTATTCCTAATAAATATCTTTTGTGTTACGACATTTTAAACTTTCTAACTTAAAAATTCTTTTTTTCAATCTTCAAATGATAGATTAAAAAAAAATTAGTTAAAATCGATGCACTACAACCTGAGAAAGAAATAAAAGAAAACGCTGGGTTATAAATACCCGAATGTGAGTAGATAAGGACTGCCAAAGTTGCGTGTACTGAAGGTTAAGACGTTCTGGGAATAGCCTGACATCATTTTCAGGACTTTTTCAGAACAGTTTTAGGGCATCCTGAGTCTTGGAACGACCTCACGTCATCATCTTCAGGACTTTCTAGAATAGTGTAGGGACGTCCTGAGGACAGTCTTATGACATCTTGGACATCTTGAGGATGTCCTTAAGATGTCCTGTGGACAGCCGACATTATCTTCTTTCTAGAAGGACTTTCTAGAACAGTCTCAAAACATCATGGGGACATATCTTGGATGTTTCAATCTTTTGTGTGTGTGTGTGTGTGTGTATGTGTGTGTGTGTATGTGTGTGGGCGCGCGCGTATACGTATATGTATATGTATAATTTATATAGTATATGTATTCCATTAATTCCAATTTTCTAGCAGAATTATTTGAAATTTGTAATCACATCAATAATATTATAAATTTTTAAAGTTAGCAATTCTTCGAATAATTTATAGCCATTATATATAAATATTTATATAATTATGTTTAATTAAAGATTTCACATTACTACTAGAGAATGAGACAACACTAATAGAATTTTCTATACACCTAAGAATAAAATTGTAAAAATAACTTGCAGATGAAATGTTTATTGCTCAATATCCTAAGAAACAATATCAAATAAGTTAAGTAAATTTAAAAAGAAATAAGAAAGCGGTATAAAATAGCACACATTATATTCTCGACGAGAAGAACGACAACAAGGATGAAGTAGACTGGGGAAGGAAAACACTCGAACATAACACAAATAGCACAGTCAAAACCAGCCATACTTATGCTCAAAAATGAAACATGCAACACTTAGATCGCAGCGAGACTAAATACATCCGCCACAGTCGAACAATCTCTCGAGACTGAGAACATTCATTTTGTCATTGTTATTTCCTAACTAATTGTAAGTTAATAAATAGCATATACCAGCGTATTATTTCGTTTCCATGTAATTTCCTCAAATATTAATAATATTAAACTGTCAGCAGAGGCATGAAATTAAGAATAATTACTGTAGGAGATATAACGTTGGCAATGATCACAAGTGTGCAATTAGCTCAGCATAAATGTCTATCGTTCTAGAGGTCTCGTAGATTTAAATCTTACCGATGCGATACGTTTTTCAATAATTATAGTTAATAAGACAGAATATAAGTATGCGAAACAGTAAAAATATTAATTGAACCGGAAAAAATAAAAAATAATAACAAAAAATTATTTTTTTCTACCTGATTATTTTTCTCTACAAGATCTTGTGGAGGATCTTGAATATATCCTCGAGATCTCTAGAGGACGCCCTCGGGATCATCCATAGGACGCCGTCGAGATCTCCTGAGAATACATTGAGGCGCTCATTTAATGTTTCACAGGGCGTCTTCAAGATATCCCCAAATCGGAAATAGGACATCCTGAGAACGTTCTTACTACCTGTCCTGGACGATCTGAGGACGTTCTGAGGACGTCATTGTGCTATTTGGATAGTACTGCTACTGCTAGCATTACCTGTATTACTGTCGCAATATATTTTTAAAGAAATGTACACTGATTGCCATAGTGGTTGACCCCTCACCAGATCTTCTTTTCAGTGTACGATAAGGAATGAAGATGCTCATAATAAATGACCATGCATACCTATCCGAAAAATTTCCGTATCTAATAAATCAATAATGGTTTCGGGACTTTGTGAAGTTAGAGTAACCCATGTTTACTTTATAAATTAACATGCAAAACAAAATATTTTATCTCAATATCGGAGACCTCATGAAGTTAAAGGAAGAAACGTAAGAAATAAAAAAGTAACATATCTTATTTAATATGATAAATATCCAGAATACATAAATTTATATCAAATTTTGCAGCATATTGGAATGTCAGATGCGTCGAAAACAGATGCATTTTTTTACATCTGTTGGCACTACTAATATCAACTGTTACAGAAATATAAAAGGTGTTCATATTACCTGCAGTGCTCATAATATCCTAAGAATATAAATATAATAAATCTTTATCAGTTATATTACTTAAAATTCTACAAATACAAAAATTTTAACAATTCTGCAAAAATAAATATCAAATAATACAATTAATATCTGAATGACACAAACAAATTTCGCGTTATTATAATTTTACAGTACTCAATATTACGTGGGACACAATAGCGATATCACTGAGGAAGAATTAGCAGAATTACCTTCATGTGTTTATGCAGGCAGATCCACGCAACATATCACGCACACATCGCCACATACACATTCTCCTTTGCACTATCATGTGCCAGTTTCAACGCCAGGTAATAAATACTATCAAACCAAATAACTGTAATAATGAAGTTATTTGATTAATATTTGTTAAAAATAAATTTTTCGTTCAGATCATGACACAGAGATGAACGGCGTAGAAGAAGGTTATTATCCAAATGGCAGTCCTTATAGAATTCAAAGACACGCGGCTAATATTCGTGAAAGAAAACGTATGCTGAGGTAAGAAATTTTCGAAAGTAATTGGCAAATGTAATCAAATCAAAATATATTTTATGAATAGTCCATGTACAAAATTAATTTAATTTTTATTTAATTTAAATTAATTTAATTTTTAAAATAATATATCAAAACTTAAATATATGAATATAGTCTATATAAAGAATATATATGGTCTATATAATTTATATAATTTCTATATACAACCTACATAATTTATATAATCTCTAATATAGTTTAATATAGTCCATATAATATTTCAAGAATATATATATATATATATATGGACTATGTATATGTATACAGAATTTATATAGTCTATGTGCATATCCTTGAATTAGTCGCTACGATTTTAGAGATACGATAAGTTGACGACAAAACATTTTTAACAATAATTTGTTTTAATGAGTAATTAGTTATGAAGTATATATAAATTAAAAAAATATTTATCTTTTTAATTAAAAATTAAAATCGAATACCATACATATCTTTTTAAACAGATCCATATATTTTCTCAATATTCTTACAGTATATAAAAAGATGAATTTATCACATTATGTATTATGTTAAAAATCGAATAATTTCCGCAACTTGCGGTCTCGCGTAAAGGAACCACGGTAGTGTCGTTGCGCTTGGCTTAGAATCAAGACATTACCGTATCTCCTGGTTATTCGATCCCCAGATGATTCAGTTAATACTTACAACATAATCTGTCGCCATACTTAAAGCAGTGAGACAAACTTAAACAATTAATAGCAAATTTGATTGGATTAGTGCGCACTGATACATATTAAAACCGTTATACATTAATTTAATCCAAGTTTAAAAGTGAAACGCATTATAAAATTCATCAAATAAAATGAAATCCGAAACTCCTCAATATTTAACAAATTTAAGAACAAAATATGTAGGGAAGTAGGAGTCAACAGTAATTATTGCGCAAGTATAAAGAGATTCAATATATATTAATACAACTATCTCTTCAATTTCGACAGAGGTAGTACGCATTTCGATTTACTTTAAGTCATTCTCAACAAATTAAATAAATTAATTATATTACGCAAGCTGTGCAATCCTGGTGCCAATCATCCGCCTTACTGATTCCCAAAAGATTCCTATTTGTTCCATCATGGTTAAATGATCAGATAAAATAAGGAACTCCACGAGATAGATTATAATAACATTAAGATTTTAGTAAAGATGATTAATGATAATTTAAATCTATAAGGAAACGAGTACGGATAATCACTCACCAAATTGCAACAGACTTATATACTCACATCCAGTCAACATAATGTACATTACATAATTATAATAAATAATAAGCAACATTTTTCGTCAAATTATTAAGAATATGAATAACATAATTGTGTCAGTTATCTAAATTAAATGACGTCTCATTTCGCAAGAGTAGTTAACGTATCAATTACTAAGACAATAACAATGCTACATGTCATCGCTATGTAACTACCGAAGAGCAAAGTCATACTATAAATCATAAACAAATTCTGTGACATCAAGATGGCATCGAGAACCGAAATATAAACATGGTCTAAAAATTCAGTAACCGTTTGCAAATTTTAGCTCATCTTTTGTGTTTCTATGTGTAATATTTTGGAAGTCAATCTTTTAAAATGTCTTTCTCTGTCCAGTATCCGAACATTATCCCAATCAAATTCATGATCATATTGTAACCTATTATCTGTAATCATCGAGCTGATAGATGTTTTTCTAGGGATATGATTATGATGTTCCGAAATCTGTGTCTTTAATTGTCGACTTGTTTGCCCCACATACGAAGCTTCACAATCCATATAGGCAATCTTACAGACTACATTTTTTTGCGAGCTGATTGGACAGATCCTTGTAAACTTTAATGAAACCTTGAAGTTTATTCACTGTAAAACGCTATTTCTGTGTCATTAGTCATTTTCTTAAATTTGTTTGAAATTTTCTAAACGAACTGAATAGTAAACGAAATTACTTTTTTGTTAATATCTACATTTTATTTGTTTTTCTTTATAATGCTTTTATTATTTATAAGATATAGATAAGTGTCTACGAAATAATGTTAAAAATTCCAGTGAGTAATTATTATTCAATAAAATTTATTGAGGCAACAAAATATGTTGAGGATTTCATGGTTTAATCAATTTCTGTACATATATTTACATCAATTTACGTCAAATCGAATTTGCTAAAAAATGAACTTAAAAAAATGAACTTATTTTCTGTTAAAACAGAATCTGTTAAAACAGATTTTAATGCTTAAATATTTCAGAATGAGTGTGTATACATATCCAATGAGTGTGTATACATATCCTGCAAACTGCACGCCAAAATCATTTTCGATTTTGAAACACAATCATGAATAGAATCAAAATAATATCACATATTAAGCTTATATACATATATGTATGTATTTCAATTACATTTTTTTGTATTATGTCTCCATTTCATTTTCTAATAGAATTCTTTTTATTATCAAATTGAGGCAAAATCACAAAGCGATATATTATACTTTAGAACTTGTAAAAAAATTTTTCCTGTAATTAAAAATGTTTTATAGTCCAGTTAAATGCAACTTTTAAAGATCCTGTAGGAGAAAATTCCCAAGAAAATTCCAATTGAATCTTATTCTGGGTGAATAAACTTATAATTTGAAAGAAATAAAATCTCGCTCCATTTAAATGCTTGGAAATCGATCTTGAATTCGAAATTTAATCATTTTTTCACATTAATCAAGCTGCATTTTTTAAGATATATCGTATAGCTAAACGAATTATTATAAATTTGGTTTAGCGACCAAAAAAAACATACAGTATCACATTTAAAATCCAGATTAAGCCATTTTTGCATCAAATCGGACATGTATTAAGAAAAATCGAAACTGTGATTTAAAAATCATTCACTAAATCTTAATATTTTTTGATAAATATTTAGAGATGTTTTTTGGCATAAAATAGAAGCTTTTAAGGTGAGAGGCCAATTAAAAAAAAAACTTTCTGACGGTAGTGTGTGTGTACACACACACACACACACACACACACTACCGTCGAAAAGTTTCCATGAAACTTAAAATTGCATAACATTCATCGTAACTCGGTAAAAAATCATCGCAAACAAAAAAATAAAAAAACATTTTAAAGTACTTATACTTTGACATGCTTTTGACCGCTTTTTCAAAAAAATGTTGTCTTTACAGTTTTGTATTTTAATATATATCACTGATGTTGTATATTTCTTAAAATTATGTACATTTAACACTGCACAGTTAGATAAAAAGTTTAATATTTTTGAAAAACAGTACAAAGATTTACCTCCGAAATGTTTTTTTTTAAATTTTCTTATGATTTTTCTTGACGGAATTACAAGTCATTAAAGTTACCTACATAGCTCACAACATCAAAATTCAATGAAATACCATCATAAAAAATTAAAGTTTACTTTAACAAGCTTCTAATCGTTTATAAATTTAATTCTACAAAATTGAGAAGATAAAATTTTTTGTGATGATTTTTTACCAACTTTAACCGTTGATTTTTTATCAGTGCAGGTTTAGCTTCAATATTGCATAATCAAGAAAAATCATAAAAAAATTTTTAAGGAAACATTTTGCAGGTAAATCTTTGTACTGTTTTTTAAAAATATTGAACTTTTTGAAAAAAATTTTTTATCATACTACGCACATTAAATGTACGTAATTTTAAAAATTACAACAATATGATATTTAAGATACAGAACTGTAAAGACAAAATTTTTTTGTCAAAAACATGCTAAAGTATAAGTTTTAAGTTTTAAAATGCTTTATTTTTTTGTCTGCGATGTTTTACCGAATTACAATGACCTGGATATTATGCAATTTTAAGTTTCAGGTCTGAAAACTTTTCAACGGTAGAATATATATA